ATGATTCAACCACTCAAACCACTGGATGTCGCTGAAAACAACAAATCCTACACACTTTGCCTTGAAGACTTTTTCAGCAGCACCAATTAGATTTATTATAGAAAATGAACTGAAACCTGTATATATTTGCTATTTGAGCTTTTTCTCTCAGCACTTTTCCCCACGTACAGAATATTCAGTTTATTTTCCTTCCTATACCATATTTTGTTCTTTAAAGCTCGAAATCTCTTGGGAATTGTAACACATGTTTAGTGTTTGAGGTGATAAAAAACTGTTAAAGGAGATAAGATGACTTAAATACCTGAAACTAAGAGTGAGTGCACACACAGAACAACTTCAGCATGGAGATCTTTCTTTTCCTCATCTCCTTAGGAGGAACAGGTATGATCACAAATAATCACAAGAGGTGCAACAGATGGATTCAGAAATTTATGACCAAYGCCTGTAAACTTATTTATGCTTGGTTTTTAATCCACAGCTGCTCTGAAAACTAATGACAAAATAGTTGGAGGGTACGAGTGCCCAAAAAACTCTGTGCCCTACCAGGTGTCGCTCTTCACGGGGTACAACTACTGCGGAGGAACCCTGCTGTCGGACGAGTGGGTGCTCTCCGCTGCACACTGCAAACCACAGTAAGAAACACGACAGACTGAAGCTGTTTGTTTTTAAAGCTCGTAAACTTGCAGCTGCTCGACCCTGATGAGTTTTTATGGCGCTCGACGTGGTGAATTTAAGTTTTCCACTTTTTCGATGGGAACGTCGAAAGAAAAAAAAGTTTCCAAATGTGGTTTTTGACTTTGTTCAGGTCGGATGTCGAAGTTCGGCTGGGGGAGCACGACATCTGGGAGCCAGAGAACACCGAGCAGCACATCATGTCTGCCAAGTACATTCGCCACCCTGACTACGACCCCCGTACGATGGACGGCGACATCATGCTGATCAAACTGAGTCGACCCGCCGCTCTGAACACCTACGTGCGTCCTGCTGCGCTCCCATCAGCGTGTGCCAGCACTGGGACCAGGTGTCTGATATCCGGATGGGGGAATCTTCGGCCCAGTGATGAGGGCTGTGAGTTTGTTTGCTTCATGAAATTCCAAATTTTAATCAAAACACTTGTAAAGGRCTTATTTATGTTTTCACAGCCAGATACCCATCGAAGCTGCAGTGCTTGGACGCTCCTCTCCTGAGCGACGACGCCTGCTTTAACTCGTATCCTTTTCAAATCACTGAGAACATGATCTGTGCTGGATTTCTTGAGGGAGGAAAGGATTCCTGTCAGGTAATGTGATCGTAGAYTGAGAAATGTTTTTTTGCCCTGTAGCAGTATGTGTCACCTGCAAATAACCCAAGAACCTCGCTTGTCTTTTGACCTCAGGGGGACTCTGGGGGTCCTATGATGTGCGATGGGGAGCTCCAGGGAGTCGTGTCCTGGGGACATGGTTGCGCTCAGAAAAACAAGCCTGGGGTGTACACAAAAGTGTGTAATTATGTTTCCTGGATCAAGACAACCATGGCGTCTGGCTGAGCGGGGAGGGATGGTGGAGAGTTATCACATGAGCTGAAAGACCTCAGTAAAGACAACAGTTTGAGTTCAAATGTTTACAGAGTGGTTCTTCTTGTTCTTTTGGTTATCGACCCCAAAAAGCTTTAATTTGACGGATCTGCAGCAAAAATATCTCAACAGGAAGCGCAAAACACCTGTTCTTATTATGAGGAAGCCAAGGCTGTAGGAAGTAGGGGTGCTGAGGGTATTAAAAGACCCTGTGATGACATCCATGTTTGGATAAGACAACAGGCACAGCCAGTGTGCAYGTCACTGCATTTATTTCGTATTATGATTTTATGCATGTGGATGTTTAGTCATACAAACCTCTGTTGTGTTTAAAGGTTTTTGTTAAAATGTATACAAGGAGGGCAGCAGAGTGGTAAAGTAACTAAGTACAAATACTTCTTTACTGTACTTAAGTAGAATTTTTGGGTATCTGTACTTTACTTGAGCAATTATTTTTCAGTCTACGTTTTACTTCTAATTCTTACATTTTCACACAATTATCTGTACTTTACATTTTTTGAAAAGGCAAGAAGTAGAAAGTTGTTACTTTTATTTCATTTTTGCTTGTTTTCATTCCGGCTTGTTATTATAAAAATAAATAATATCCATATAAACTGTGCCTCCTAGATGGAGTG